CAGTGGAGTAAAGATACTATAATGTGACATACTATTTTATAAACACAGTGGAGTAAAGATACTGTAATGTGACATACTATTTTATAAACACAGTGGAGTAAAGATACTGTAATGTGACATACTATTTTATAAACACAGTGGAGTAAAGATACTATAATGTGACATACTAACAGTATCTTTACTCCACTGTGTTTATAAAATAGTATGTCACATTACAGTATCTTTACTCCACTGTGTTTATTAAATAGTATGTCACATTACAGTATCTTTACTCCACTGTGTTTATAAAATAGTATGTCACATTACAGTATCTTTACTCCACTGTGTTTATAAAATAGTATGTCACATTATAGTATCTTTACTCCACTGTGTTTATAAAATAGTATGTCACATTATAGTATCTTTACTCCACTGTGTTTATAAAATAGTATGTCACGTTATAGTATCTTTACACCACTGTGTTTATAAAATAGTATGTCACATTACAGTATCTTTACTACACTGTGTTTATAAAAAATGTGTCAAGGGTGTGGTGGGTGTCAAGTGAAGAAAAGCCTAACTTTTAACATAACTAAGAGAATTTGTAGAACTAATAGAATGTCAGAAAATGTTATTATTACATACTTCACATTCTGTCATTTGTTTTTCATTCATTTGTAAACATGGAATTGAACGTGCAATATTATCAGTAAATTTTTATATTACATTTTGTTTAATTTTAGAACATACAATGATTTATTTTTAAATTAATAATTTGATTATAAACTTGAAAGAGGTTTGTTTCACTGTAGGTTAGCAGTACTAATAAGAACTGGTAAAAGATTGTGTTTTGATATAAAACGTAAGCATTAGAAAAAGCCACTGTTTAGAAACGATGGTTTTGTTGATTTCTCTGTTATCTTTCTTTTATAGCTTGCCTTATCCAGGGCTTTTTGGTGGAGTAATTGCTATCACCAGACACCAGTTTGAACGTGTAAATGGATTTTCAAATGTATTCTTTGGATGGGGGGGCGAGGATGATGATTTTTGTAACAGGTATTATTCTTACATGAAACCTTTTTATTTTTATTGTAGATTCACTGTTGGGAGTGAATTGTAATTCTGAGAATTAAAAGCAGTTTGATGTCCCATTTACTAATTTTAATATGATGCATATAAACTGTAGATGAATGTCATTCCCATTGGAAATTAATCTCTTATCTTTAGCATGAGAAAAGATTAGTTTATTAATAAGTGTTAAGGGAAATATAAACACTATAAATTTAGGGTTGGATCATGTTTGGTCTTAATGGTATCGTTCCGATGGATGTAAAGGTCTTGTGTTCACTAGTGCTTATAGTGTTACTCTATCTGTTGTTGGTTCTGGCTGCAACGTGATTCGTATATCAAAGGAGTGTTACTCTATCTGTTGTTGGTTCTGGCTGCAACGTGATTCGTATATATCAAAAGAGTGTTACTCTATCTGTTGTTGGTTCTGGCTGCAACGTGAAACGTGATTCGTATATCAAAGGAGTGTTACTCTATCTGTTGTTGGTTCTGGCTGCAACGTGATTCGTATATCAAAGGAGTGTTACTCTATCTGTTGTTGGTTCTGGCTGCAACGTGATTCGTATATCAAAGGAGTGTTACTCTCTCTTTTGTTGGTTCTGACTACAACGTGATTCGTATATCAAAGGAGTGTTACTCTATCTGTTGTTGGTTCTGGCTGCAACGTGAAACGTGATTTGTATATCAAAGGAGTGTTACTCTATCTGTTGTTGGTTCTGGCTGCAACGTGATTCGTATATCAAAGGAGTGTTACTCTATCTGTTGTTGGTTCTGGCTACAACGTGAAACGTGATTCGTATATCAAAGGAGTGTTACTCTCTCTGTTGTTGGTTCTGGCTGCAACGTGAAACGTGATTCGTATATCAAAGGAGTGTTACTTTATCTGTTGTTGGTTCTGGCTGCAACGTGAAACTTGATTCGTATATCAAAGGAGTGTTACTCTATCTGTTATTGGTTCTGGCTGCAACGTGATTAGTATATCAAAGGAGTGTTACTCTATCTGTTGTTGGTTCTGGCTGCAACGTGATTCGTATATCAAAGGAGTGTTACTCTCTCTGTTGTTGGTTCTGGCTGCAA